TCGGGCCCCTCTGCGACCTGGTCCTGCCCTGTCTCTGTGCTGGATGCTGCCGTACAGCTTGTATGGGTGACTTTTGGGCACACAATGTTGAACTATGTCGGGGTGAATTGCCTGGGCACGCCTGTGAACTACCTGGTCAACGACGCCTTCTACATGATCACCCGCGCCGCAAGGCACCCACAATCCGCAGGATGCTGTTCGAGATGCGGTTGGACGAGAGATGGTAATGGCGAACCTGGCGGACATACAGGACACCATGCGCCGCCTCCTTGACCGACAACGTGCACTTCGTCATTGTGACAGGCTGCTGGGGGTAGCTCTGGAGGAAGTGGTGTCATACCTGTCTGTGCCCAGGACAGCCGCTGCCTACAATGCGGCCACCATGGAGGCTAACATCTGGCGCGCCGTTGCCCATGAAGCGAGCTTTGGCAGCGCCCTGTCTTCGACGGACTCCCACCAGGTGATGGTGTCGCCGGCGGTCCTGCTCGAGCCTGGCTTTCCTGATGCGGAGGGCATTCGCCGTGCACTACCGGGATACGTGCTGCCACGACTTACAGCTATGAGACGTCGTGCATGGCAACTACATGTCAGCAGACTGGTAGCACGTGGTGAACTACAAGGGAGCCCATTGGAGCCGCTCGACGATAGTGAGGCCAGCGAGACCGAGCTCTACTTGATCCAGGCTGACATGTCGGTGCCCGTGCCCAACCACCCAGCAGGAATAGCCATACCAGAGCAGCCGTACCAGCTTCGTCACAGGTTTGGGGTGGCAACGCGACGTCGGCATCAGCAACAGCGTCCTGCACCACGACTTCTACCTCCTCAAAGTGACGATGACCTGTCCGGTGAAGCTGTGATTGGGGAGGGTGGCCTTGGATCGTCTTCGGTGGCCTCGCCTGGTGATGTCGTGTCTGCGGTGTCCGTGCCTCCTGATGCTGCTGGACTGAGAGGGTGTGCCACTGACAATACCTTGGATAATGATAGTGATGAACAAGGAGAGTCCTGGTCCTCTGAGTCTGCGAGAGTTCGTCGTATGTATGAACGAAGTCGTAGTCGAGATCTGTCATGAGGCCTTTTCCGACTCCTTGTCGGCCTGTGCCCAGTGTAAGCCTGCACAGAGGCAGGTTCCGACTGCTTGCAGAAAAGGAGCCATTACACTTTAAAAAAAAAATGTAAAGGCGCGTGAGGTTCGGCCAAAAATACGTCGGCCCCGCGCTCCATCCCTCTTCTGCCAAGCCTTAAAACAGTCGAGCTGTACGGTTTCGGGTTTAGGGTTTTAGGGTTTTCGGGTTTAGGGTTTCGGAATTAGGGGCTTTGGGTTTAGGCAACGTAATCCCTGATCTGTCGAGACACGCCCGGCAAAAGCGGCGGCGTCTCCGGAGCGGCGGCCGCCGGCGCCGTCTGATCCGCCGCCGCCATGGCGCGGCGCTCACGCCGATTGGCTATCGGCAGCATCCCGGACATTAAAGTGTCCTAAAGGTCTGTGTGCTGATGTCAAAACCCCGGACCCCAACCCTAAGCAATATGGAGGTCTCCTTGGCGGCACTCCGGTGCTGCGCTTGCATCGAGGTCGTGCGTACCCGCCCAAACCCAACACGGATCGCGAATCATTGTGAGAGAACACAGGCCGGGGGCGCTCACCCTTAAATGCTCAGCTAAAAGAAGCACATGGCAGAGGCGGCCCGCATCGAGCCAATGTAATATATCAGTGGCTTCAGCTTTAGAATCAATCTATCTGGCCCCTGGATTCCTGGGCCGATATAGACACGTGACTTCCAGAGACCGTGTAGAATGTTGAGGTTTGTGCGGGCTGGCTAGGCAACACAGCTTGTCCTGCTCGAACTTGAGGCGAGGCCGGCTAGTCATGCATGCATCGTTCAGCAAGCGCAGCAGACCCTTGCTTCTCACAGACAAGTATTGCACATAGCTTTTGTCCTGGAAACCAAGACTGTCACACCCAGCTCCTGACAGAGTACTTCTGGTTGTTGTCCTGGAATGCAGGACTGTCGCGATCAAACATGATGGCCAAGCCTTCAAGCAATCAGTCGCAGCCAACCAAGCACAACCGACCGACCGACCGAAGGATCAAACATGACGGCCAAGCCTTCAAGCAATCAGTCGCATCCAACCAAGCACAACCGACCGACCGACCGAACGATCACATA